CCCCAAAACCCCAAAACCCCAAAACCCCAGGGGTAGATAGGGGGATTTGGATATTAATATTCAATATGGGGTGGTGATTGGTAGAGTTTATTATAGCCAGGCTCTGGTTTTGTGAAATCCATGTTCTTGAAATATTTTTGTAGCCTTTGCTTGATTACTCAAACAATATGGTGCTTCAAATTCTTTCAAAGTTTTTTGTAAATCTTGTGACTTTGAGAGTCCTTTTATCAACCTTGAGAAGCCATCAAAAGACTCTCTAGTCCTTATCACTCCATTTATTGTTCAATTGAACAATGTTATTGTTCTGATTGTACTTCCATCCAAAGAATGGCCGAAGCTGGGCACTGTTTCCATAGAAATATTGCAATTCTGAAAGAATAATTTCTTTGTATTCCGGAAGGCAGAAAAGAGCTTCATCAATGAGGATTGATTTATATTTGCACTTCAAATGCAAATTTCAGATCTTATTTTATAGCTGGCATTTAGAATTTGTTGGAGATATTTACGTTTATTGATTAATAAATGATCACAAGACCACACACTTAATTTCCTCAATCTTCTCAGAGATGATTTTCAAAGAAAATCTCTGACAGCAGAAAGGTTTTTAGAGGTTATATTGTGCACAGTTATTTTCACTACATCAGCAAGAGGTAGAGACTTCAGATTTTTTAACAATTGGAAATCCTGAAGATATTTAAAGTTTAGAGCCATAATTAGCGATCAGAACATTTAGAGAATGAGTATCTGCTTAATTTTTCATTGACAGAAAAGTACACTTGGTCATCGATATCTTCGGATTGCTGCTGGATACTCTTCTCAAGCGCTAATTTAACTCATTGTCCATCATTGTTTTGGTCTAAAAATATAATGACTTAGTCATGGTTTAAGATCATGATAAAAGGATGCTCAAGTTTAAAGTAAAAGTTAAAATCCAAGTGAAATTACGGGGCTTTATTTGAAGAGAAAAATCCAAGATTTAAATATTAAAATAGTATTTTCTGAACGAGTGATTAAAGGAAAATTGGAAATACCTGAGTCGTCAACTTTAATTATTTGATGATGTCCGTTCACTTTTGTCATTTTATGAGCTTGCTTTAGAAGATCTTCAAGTTCTCCTTCCAAACGATCATATTCTTGCTTGCAAGCAATATCTTTGATACCTATCTTCTCAGGGTTCGAGTTATACAGCTGAATCTTTAATGAAATAACTCAGCTATAAATTTGGAAAATCCTTGTTTTGAAATGACTATTCTGAACTTTTGAATACTTCTCCAAGGCAGCTCTTTGGTATGAAACTTTTTCACAAATGCTCTCGTGCTCGACTCTCACTCTATACATCATTCAAAGTCTATTTTACTTGAGTATAAGCATGCCTCTTTTAGAAATGTTCCTATCTCTCTCTGAGATCTCTGGTTTGCTATGGCTCTTCCCCATTTATATATCGTCAATTAATTTAATTAAACTAGGGGTTTTGGGGTTTTGGGGTTTTGGGGTTTTGGGG